CATTATACATGTATTGCCAATGTCAGACTGGTAGAATATGCAGAGTATTTTCCAAATTATCAATGGTTTGCTTTGCATTTTTGAAAAGATATATATATATATATATATATATATATATATATATATATATATATATATATATATATATATATATATATATATATATATATATATATATAAACATATGGTACTTCAAATGTAAAAGTATCAGAATGGGGCAAGCTTGGATTCAAGTGACTATAAATATAAAAACATTGACTGAAAACTATTTTTTTTTCATGGTTACATTTTGTAACATAATAAAAAAAAGTCATCACTGTATATCTAAGAAATACTGACATTTGAGAGGACATGTAAAATTAGACCTGCTGTAGTGAAATACATCTCAGAACAGGTACTGATGGATCGTCAAGATAATTAAGGGAAAATAAATATCTAGCTTTCGTTTATCGAAGGATTATTTGCCATGTAGATTCGTTTTTATAAGACATGCAGAACCAGTAACAAGGAATTGTAGAATGAAAAAAAAAAATTCATTAAATCATAAGATGACTAATATAAAATTTGTACAAATAATGAGACCAAAAAGAATAAAATAAAGAGTATCTTTGGATAAGTACTATTATGCAATCTGATCTCAACAAACTTAACAAAAACATGCATACGAATCTACTTATCATTTACCTACCAAACACAACCTGCATGTCCACAAAAAAGGTGGGGTAAATAAAAATTGAAGGCCATAACTTATCAATTCCAGTTTGATATAGTCTGTCATATATGGATGTTTTATTGGCTATAGACAATAAGGGTCAACTAACAACTAAACTGTATGACAAACAAGATGTTTTTTTTTCAGCTTTTACATCATCAACTTTATTTATATAGATATATTCCACTATCACCTGCATATGGTGCTTATGTCTCCCAACTTTTTCGATACTCAAGGGCATGCTATCAATTTTTAAACTGAGACAAGCTACAAACAAATAAGTTGATGTTATAGGGAATTCTTCAACTTTGTTTAAAGTCAGCATTTCGTAAATTCAGTGGTCGTTAAAATGACAAATACAAACGTATTAGGTCGTATTTTGATTGACATATTTCAATCAATTGTTCCGCCTTTGTTTTTATACTAAATTATTCCGCCTTTGTTTTTATACTAAATTATTCTAGATCTACCTTTTTGATTAATACATAGGACTAACGGTAGGTGTAATCGGTCGACAAGGGAAACTTAAATCTCCAAGGCACCTGATCTCACCTCTGGTGTTTCCAGGGGTCCGAGTTTTATGTCCTGTTCCATTTTTGTTTTGTCTGTAGTTTTTTTTAAGATCGATATTTGTTCTTTATCTTCACCTATTTCATTTTGATTCTTCTTCCAGAGACCAATAGCAGCACAAACCAGATTTCATTTTTCTTGTGTTTAAATAATACCTGAATAATTGACTAAAATCAAATATGACATTCAAATAAGCCGGATAGACTAATCTTTTGTACAGATAAAAAAAAATCATTCGTTTTAATTGAGATGTTCATCTCACTGTATAACGAGTTAATTTATCGTTTGAACGAGTTGGTATCTCTTTACAACGAGATAACAATGTATCCCGTGATAACAAGATAACTTATGAAGTAGTTAGTTAACATGTAACATTATAACGCGATATTATCTAGTTTGAAGGAGATGACTAACTCATTTTACTTATTATAACGAGATATTTTATTTTATTATAACTAATTCGTTTTAACGAGATGACTAATTCGCAATAACGAGATATTACGATATAACCTAGGCATTTAAACGAGATAATTTACCTATTCTGACGAGTTATTTTTTTTCAAGAATGAGTCTATCCTGCTTTCTTAAAAATTCACCTGTCATAAATGAAATTAGCCTAAATAAATAATGGGTGAATTAAAAAAATTGACCAAACGCATATTTAGCATATTTATCAACCTGCAATAGAAATACAGGCAATGGGATTAAATTTCTATGTCTCAGCGTATGCCTATAGATAGTGTCTAAATACCTGCCAAATATCTCATTTATATTTCAAGTCACAAAAAGGTTATGCCCAAAGATAATACTAAAATGTCAGGAGTGCAACACCTTTTTTTGACATTTTGAAAATTCAATATTTTTTGAAGATCTGTCAAATAAATAATAATGGTCTGTAGCAAATTTTGTTTGACCAAGTTGTGGTCATAGCTGATGTTGAAAAAAAATGTTATACCATGTCAGGTGTGCAACAGAAAAAATGTAGTGTTGCCTAAAAACATCGATTTTAAAAATCTGAAAGACAATTAAGTCAAAAAAGAAAGTGTAAAACAATAGCTGATACACAATTTAAAACTTTAGTAAAATGTTCTGTAAATCACAAACGGCATTAATGAGAATCAAGTATCTGTGCATACCCAATAATGTCAGGAGTGCAACATCTGATGTTTGGTCCCCAGCATGAAAAAAACATTTATCAGTATATGATTCTCAAGTTTTTATTTTGGAAAATAAAGACACAAAGAACATTTTTACCAAATAGATTTATCGATTAGAGGGTCTGTCAGTGTTTCAGATATATATTTCTATGATCAGGAGTGCAACACATTTTTTTTTTAAGGACTCAAGTTATATGATGAAAAGACCTCTATTCATGCTAACAAAGATCCTTTAATTAATAATGATCTGTTCGAATAATTTAGTACAAAATTCCAGCTGTGTTTTTTTTTAATCTTTTCTTTGATTTTTTTTATGAATGTAAAAAAATAAACACACTGAAAAATTGTTATAAAATTCAAGTAATTCCACTTCAACTTAACTAAAACAACAGAACAAGTTCTGGTGTGAATTTCGCTTCACAATTGTATTTTAAAGACCCCAATGCTCTTGGTCAGGAGTGCATCAAATATGTTAGACTTATTGCTGATCAAATTTGACTAAATATAAAGAAAAAAAATTGATGAGTAGAATGTTTCTGGTTGACCTCAGCTGCTTACATTGTTCTGTGAAGGAAAATATACTATAAAATATATGTCTTCTAAATATATATATTAGCTAGTTTTTTTTTTACATAAATAGGGAACAATTCAAGATCTAAAGCTAGGTTTAAATACTTTCATGTGTTTTATTTATGAAGTATTGGACCATAAATATTGCACAATTTCGTTACCATTTGATGTTGCCAACACTTTATGATTTTTTTTTGTGTTCTATGGTTTTAATTTTTGATTTCTTGAATTCTATTGTTTCATATTTCTTTCATATTAAAACTTTTTAAACAAGAATTGAGAAAATAATGTAAAATAACAATCAAAAAGCCATTTTTTACCCACATATACAAGAGAAGAAACTCAATCAAGGATTAGATCTAATCATTTACATTGTATATCCCTGATACCATTTTGAAGCATCAGAAACTTCTTTTGATTACGTATTTTATCCAATTGTCTATTCTTTTGCAACTTCAGGAAATTTAACTAGAATGCATGTACAATATGATGATTTCGGTGAAAAATGTTTTATGCGTAGTTAATTTTTTTTCAAAAAAAAAAAAAAATCAATTTGGTGGTCATTATTTTTTAATTCACCTTAATAAGCATGAAGCACTGCTGGATTTTTTTCTTGGAGTAATCTCCCTTTCCCTACCGTATTTCTTTTATAATCAAAGAAATAATTGAATACAATGTACTTGTTTATTTATTGATGAAATTCTCTGGAGTAAAAGAAAAGAACATTATAAAACAGCCTCATTGTTTCCTAATAAAAAAAAAAATCGTTATATTTACAAATATAGTTTACTGGAACAGATCGTTACGTCATGAATGGATTGGAAATGCCTATGAGAAATTCCATAATCGACAGGTCATTGCCTTTTCCTTCTGCAGACGACTCAAAGTTATTTTGATAGATTACTGGCATGTAAAATGTTTCAACATATGCAATATAATAATAATAAATAAATAAATTTCTTTTGAATATATTGGTATCGGATACTGCTAAAAAAATCAATATAAAATTATTGTGGACTAAAAATATACAGCTTTTGGTTTAATTTTTTTTTTCAAATTAGGTCATGTTACTTTTATCAAAGGCAAATATTAATGTTCTTATAGTGTTACTTTTTGGGAACATTCGGAACAATGCGTTAGTTTATAATCTATTGTAATAATGCCTTTCTTATAAATAAAATCTTTTAAAAAGTAATAGCAAAATACATTACAGAGAGCCCGCATCTTGTTCAATTTTTAATTCCCCTGATTTTTTTTTTCTTTTAATTCAATAATTGGAAAGTGTCTCTAGCGGAAGGAATCTCAGAGCCAAATCTCTACTGGGAAAAAAAAAGAAAAAAAAAAGAGGGACGTTATTTTAAGTTCAGCTAAATGTTTTTAGGAGAGTTTCATCGTTAACAATCATTATCTGCTTTCAGATAATAATTTAAATTACTAAAAAGTTACCAGCCCAAAACATACTCAGCATTTACGAAAGATCTTAGGTATTTTAAAAATAAAAATAAATTTCAAAATTTATTTCATAATTTGTAATGTAAAAGAGGCCCAGGAAAGCGAACAAAAATGAGAATTAAAGAACTTGTTGTACCGTATAAGTGGAAATTTTAGCGAGACGAAAATCTAGCAATTTATCCTAAAAAATTGATATCTATTTTTAGCGAGAAGTAATTTTAGCGATATTAAAATGCTAACTAAAGAAGCTATTACAAATAAAACGCGATTAATTTTTAGCGATATTCAATTTTAGCGATCTCAGCACCCTCGCTAATAATGCCAAAATTACACCCTTGCTAAAAATTCTACTTATACGGTACTTTAAATGTTATACAAGCTAATCTTTCTCTTTAAAGATGAAACAATATCTTATATCTTACGGTATATCATTTAAAAAAGAGATAAAAACATATGTAATATGTTAAATCTTAAAGTTTTACTACACTGTATGTATAAGATACCCTTATGCTTTATCAGGTCTTTATAAATATACACAATTCATTTTTAAAATCATTTATTGCAAAACTTTCAACACATAACAACATATTACAGAATGATAAAAAAATTAATCAACATCTTAAAATAGGAAGAAGGATGACGGAGCAATCCGTTTTGTCTATACAGAATATAACAGTATGTAAAATAAAGCAACCCCTGAAATAAATATAAATAAACTAAAAACATCTCTCTGCCTCCATAAACTCATCTTGTTATACAAGGCATTGATGTGAATTGTATGAAATAAAGATAATTAATGACTGCTTTTAAGCATTTGTATCATACGTAATGCACAAAATATATACCTTTTCAGGATGCACTGAATAATCAATGTTTCCTGATATCATAAACAGCACCGAATTAAAAATTGCCGGCAAAGAGTTTGTGCTAATAAAATGTAAAATAGGAATAATAGTTTAATTTAAATGCAATGTATAATAATGATCTTCAATAGAAATATATTTTTTTAAATAAACAAACAAATAAATAAATAAATAAATAAATAAATAAATAATAACCTTATTAGCATGTAAAGCCGGTGGTTCTTTTTCTGCAAAATCTAAAAGCATTGATTAAATCTATCAAACTAAGTTGATATTCTGTTTAAGAGTTAAGCTTCGTAAACATCGAATTTTTTCATCTTGACAATGGGCCAAATAAAAAAAAATTCTGCGACATTTAATTAAAATTTGATTTCCCTAAATTTGATACATTTGTATATTTATTGTCAACAGATTATCAAGCATTTGAATTTTTCTTCCATTCTACGTGATAATTACTTGTAAGTTAAGCCAGTATTCCGTTTAATTAAGACATAACAAAGGTATTTTCTCCCTATACATCCTATTAAACAGTTCAGATTTCACTCTCTATTAACAAAAACCTACCATCATAATCTCTTACACTAACCATATACACCTTCTCGAATATCACAAGCAGAGTATAGTGTTTTGTAAGTTAACTGGATCCGCAGAGGGAAGCCATTAAAGGAAAAAAAACACTGGCTTCGCCGATGCCAAGAACCATTATCGATTCACACATTCTAATACACAGTGACAAATAAACCACTACGTAGGAAGAAGGAATGCTAGATATCGACTTTTTCCTCGGGATATTTTTTTTTTCCTAATTCGACAAGGAAGGAGCATGTTTTTTCAGAAATTCAATTTTTTCTCATGCAAAAACCAGCATTTGTAAATAAATTAAACCAATGCTCCTCACTACCAGCTCTACAATAGGATATAAAAGATTATTGCAATTTTGTGTTATGTAAATATACTTAACTATTGATCATACTACCTGGTTTGTTACAGGTGAATGAAAGATCGTATGTCATACATAAACAAGATGAGTAATCTTTAACGAGACTTGAAAAATGGGATTGTCAAAGCAGCGGTGGAATACTACGTATGCAAATTATTGCAAATAATGAAAAATTTGGTAAACATCAATAAATTATTTAAAAACCAAAATATGTACTGTACAGATCAACGCTAGATGTCTATCACAAAGCTTATATCTAGCTAAATACAGATATCTATATCAGATAGCACTGTCTGAAATTTCTTCCCTATATGACAATTCTTTTTACGTTTAACCAAAAATTACTCGGCATCCGTGAGGATATTGTTCATATACAGGGAGAATAAGACTTCAGCTCAGCAAAGATCTCCGTGAAATAACCCGGATCACTGTTTATCCGTAGCATATTGCTACTTTGTTTATTTACAATAGAAAGACATCGGTCCCAAAATACCTCCTTGTCGTTCTCCACTAAGAAGGGTTTTAGGGGATAACTGATCTCGTTACCCATGTAACTGTAGGACAGATACAAACATGTCAGCACCATCGCTTGTAAGTCTTGCTCAGTGACGATATCAGAATGAGAGTGATCCCGAACCAACATGAACACAAATACCACGTTTGCGGGATTGATGAATCCCACATCTTGCCAACCTTGTAGCAGCAAAGAGCGATCCACCGTGCGCAACCACATAATCAGATCGCAACCTTCAAAAGTCTTCAGCTTTCTGCACTTTCTACATAAGTACTCTCCAAGACACTTGAGGAGTTCCGAAGTGGATGCTTGGATTATTGTGCGTTTGGCAGGACTTGTGGTGATTACCTCCGATTTCTCTGTCGTTCTGGAAGGAGGAACATTTTCGTCTGATCCTGATTTGATGTTGTATAACGATAGAGATTTTGGTATATTTCTGTTTAAGTTGTCAATATTAGAATTATTGTCTAATTTACCCGGAACAATGGAAGCATTCGAACGAAGGAGAAAATTCTTGTCTTTTTTCTTACCGCCATTCACAGTCAATTTTTTCCAGCTAAGTCCACTCAAAAACACGGTATGTTTCTTGTACATTTTGTCTTTGGACTGAGTCGACTGTGTGTTTTTAGCATTGTTTAACATCTCATATCCGAAGTTTTGTAAATGAAGATCTTCATAATTCGGCTTCCGCGGTCGCGGCGTAAAGGACATAACGGTGCCCATATTGTCAGCTTTTTCCGTGAAGATCAACAAAGTGGCTACAAATAAAGAAGAAAATCCACTAGCAGAAGAAGCCCCTCCTAATCACAAGCGCCTATACCCATTATCCATAGAAAAGATACATAGAACGTCAACAGTATATACACAAATGGATAATTCCAAGAAAATCTTGTCTACAGGTTTACAGAATATTGATTGGCCATCCCGGCAAAATGGGAGACCTATATTATAATAAAACATCCAATGACATCATTGCTATGGAAACATCAATAGTCTTTCAGAGCGTTCAGTCCTCGTAATTGAGCCATGCGCAGTGAAGCTTGTATTTTTGTCGGCAGCATGTAGGAGACCAATAATCAATAGGCAGATGGAATTGGTAACAGCGAATACACGAGTACAGCGACTGGAGAACTATTGATTTTTTCTCACTAATTGCAACAACTAGACGTGTCCTCGTAGGAACTCGATAGATCCAGACTCCTTTAAAATTTTTGTTGTTGTTTTGCTTATTTATTTTTTATTTCGTTCTTCTTTCTTTTCACTGAAAGGCCATTGTCTCTTCTTAAGGTTTGATATTGATATTCTTCGAATTTATATGAAATGCTCAAGATAGGTAAAATGTAATAAATTAGAATGGAGATTATATTTTATTCATTTAAAACGCAAACGTACTTTAAACAAATTAGTTATTATTCTTTATTACAATGCATTTAATTACATGCACATCTTTTTTATAATTACATGTACATGTATTTCTTTTTTAATGCAATCGGATTTTTAACATTTTTTTGTTTACTCAACTATGACAATCGAAGTCTCTCAACTACTCTACTATGTACAGTATGTACAGACAAGTAAAAATAAAAATATCATAATCAGCTAAATATTAGTACCAAAAAGTCTAACTGACAAAGTTAGCCTTAGCTTGCTAGACTGTGCAAATCAGATCAATGTTCTCGAACATATAACATTACAAGCCACAGTACAGATTTTCAGTTTCATTTGTTCTCTTGTTACATGTATTTATACCAACAGAAAACTCAAGTTTCCGATCTACGGACCACTATGATATAATTCTATTTAAGTGATTATCTATTTTGTTTAACTCAAGACACTATAATAAATACTATAACAGGGATACAACCTTTAAAAGGATAGTAATTTCAAAGAACCTAGAAAATCATCAAATTTTAAATATTAATATATAGTAGTTAGAACAGAAAGATAATGAATAGGTGGATAGAAAAAAAATTCTCTTTTTATTTGAAGGACACCTTGTTTTCAAGACGTCGATGATTTAAAACAACTGGTGCAATCTATCTTATATACCAACCGAGATTTAAATGTTTTGCTACATGTTTCATCTTTTCTTAATTTTTTCAAACTACATAGTTTAAACACAAACTATTTATAAGGCAAGGTGCTTATAACGTAGTTTGTTTATTAAAATAAAATCTACAAATCGTGATTTCTTCATTCGGAACTGCGTTCAACACACTCAAAGAAAATACCTCCACACTGTAACTGTGAATTGAATAATAAACAAACAAAGTGTACATGCATTTATACGAAGCAACCGTGTACACCTCATCGTTCATTTGTGCATTTGACTCATCGCACCATTCGTCACGCTCATCGATTTCTTTTCTGATTTTAGAAGACACGTGCCACACGTACTATTCTCATCATTACGCTATCGAGCATTGAACGCCATAACTCACGTGGGAAGACGTTCACGAACTGTTGCTGAGACTGACGGAATTCGTCCCCGGGCAAAGTAATTAATATGAAAGCATCTGCATTGAATTCACGGTGATTTATTAAGAATTCTTCGCGGACTGCACGGTCCCCTTCGGTCATTATACTTCCATTTCTGAGCAAAATTGATTCCAATTCTGAGAAATTCTATATATGTTTGTCAGCAGGTGACGAGGTCTCATTTACCATTCTTTCTTGCCGAATCAGTGAGGATTATGAAAACATATATTTTCGATGAATTTCAGGTATACATGGAACTAACATTATAATGTGGTAGCCTAGAATTAACATAAATTCAAAACCAAATCTAGTTAAAATAAAGCTGGTTGTGCTAAATTCGGTTACTTGCCAAAAAAAAAAAAAAAAAAAAAAAAAATAGGGTCACCAGTGCTACGTTTAATTTAAACCAGTTTTATTCGATACACTATAGTGTATAAAAATGCATTGAACGTGGGCAGATAGACTAAGCCTATTAAGGCCATCTATCGAAATGTGCTTTGCACTTTTATCAAATAGTATTTAACTTGCATGTGGGTGTCGATCCTTTTGATTTATGTATTGATATGCTGCTTTGCAAGATAATCCTTTGAGAATTTTTTTTTTTTTTTTTTTTTTTTTGATTTTCATTGATCGAAATCTAAATGAAAACATGTTTGAGGCGATGAAATTCTAATGAAATAATTATATGTTTGATGAATTGGGATGTAGAATTTAAAAGAAAAAGAAGCAGTTTCAATCGATCATGCAGTTTAAATTTTTCTATGGAATTCCTTAAATAAATAATTTTAAAATGATATGTTAATTTCTAGTGTAATTGCATTTCGTTTGTTCATTTTATCGGGTGGGGTGGGGATGCATGATTGTAGCTGGCAATGTTTATTTTTGTACATATAAGTATTCTAAAATGTAGATGTTCATCATGAACTTAATCTATACACAAGGTCGTTAAACAACTCCTTTAATTTCTTGGCGACATATGAATTAATGACAGTAAAATTCGTGAAAGCAATTTTTGCTTATCTGACAAAGATAGGAGGAAAGGAGTGGGTACACTATTTCCCAAGAGTCCTTATTAAGTACATACAGATCGTGAATACTAAACATTATTTTCAGAGTTTTCTCCCCATATCCCTATTTCTACTATTTGAAATCAATTAAAAATTTTATCAATTTTTCAAAATCAATTAAAGATTTTATCAATTTTTCAAACAGTCAACAGACTCATAAAATTTTGGTAGTTATTGACACATGCGTGTCTTATTTTATTTTCCACATCAGTGAGATACAATTTTGAAAACTAGTCTGATTCGAGATGAAAACAGGCCACCTTATGGTAACCAACAGTTCATGAAAAATGAACTGTTATTAGAATAAGTTCACCCGAAGAAGAAAATCAGCATTTAATGTATAGAAAAGAATTGTTGTGTGACAATTGACCAAAATAGTTGTGTAAAAATTTCTTTCATTCATTTACTAGAGCATACACTTTTTACATGACTATAATATGCGAAGTTATAAACCTATTGTATTTTTTAAATTTCTTTCTTTCTTTTCTAGTTACTTAAAAAAAGATTATTTAATTAATAATTGATTATGAACTACTTCATCACTGTCAACCATTACACAAATTGTTAATTCTAAACATTTTTAACCTTGACATTTTTGGACTTATGCAGGCAACGCCTGGCGTCTAATCCAATTATGTAAATGACTTTAAATAATAAAATATTGATTAAATTTAATCATAATTAACCAAGCAGCATAATATTTCTATATACTGTGCATAAAAGAAAAACGTACAATTTTTCATAATTAGCTAATGCGCTTCGTGTTTCAGTTTGCATGCTTACGTATCTTGGTAATCTATTTCACTTTAACATTAATTTGTGGGAAAATGTTCAATTTACAAGTCTGTCCCTCCTAATTACTTCTGTTTACCTAACTTAAATGTATTTCCGTCATTTCACGTGTATCTTGTATATTGTCTTTGTAAATATTGAACCATATATACTATTAAGGGTATCCGCTCCTCAGGCAGGAAGGATAACTCCTTAATATATTATTTAATTCAAAAAGTCTCAAAATGAAGCTTGAAATTGAAATCTTTTCATGCAACACTTTTCATTTTATGCATCTCAGTGTGATTCAAGGTTCCTCGAAGTCTTAGAATCGGTCTTATAAAAATTTGATATTTGTACCTCATAAAAGTATTTTAAAAAATTACATATTTAAAGAAAATCCAATTTCTTTAGTCTGGCCTTAGATACATATATCTATTGGCATGATATGAAATGAGAAGTGATTTATGGTGTTTTGCAGTAATAGGAAATGCTTTTTACACTATGCTTTATAAAATAATTGAAGTAAATAGAAGAAACTAAAGTACCAAATAAGTGTAAAAATCATACATTTTTTTTAAATGACAGGATAACTATAGTTTTTAATCCTAAAATATGTTTGTTGATCGATTTTCAATTGGAAAATGCATACTAGGTGTTTTTATTTGCATTTCCTGAAAAATATTTTGAGACTTACTAGTTTTCCCAATATGATATGATTAACTTTAATCATAAAGTTTAAAGAATACATATTATTTTGAAAATTCAGAGACATTTTTGTGAGCATTTTCAATTATTCAATGCCTGATTTTATGAACCTGAGGATCGGACTACCTTAAGTGGACAGAGAGAATAAATGAACTTGAGCACAAATCTAAAATTTACTGTCATTACAAAATTAAACATATATAAGCCATAAGGATTTAGAAAAGCATTTAATTCAAAGATTTTAAATTCATGATCATTTAATTCGTAAATATCTAATCCAAATTAGTTAGTTAAAACAGGTTTCCATTATTTGAAATAAAGAACTGTAATAAAATGATTGCTAATCATTGAATGGAAAATTATGGCATGAAGTAGAATATATGATGGTGACTGGAATCCGTCTACACACAGTGTTGTGTAGCAAAAAATAGGGTATTGTACATTTGTTATAGTTGATCGGAACTACGAATGGTAAGGTGAAACAATGTTTGGGGTTCGAAATTCTGCTGAAAAAAAGAGAGCAAACTGAGCTCATAACACATTCCGATTCTACATAAAACTTGAATTAGTAGGCTCTGCTTTGCGTTCCTAGGCCAAAAGCAAACCAATAGATACCAGATTTTTAAGTGCATAGTAAATGACTTTTTAAAGAAAAATCTTTCCAGTAAAATGCATTATTATCAAACTTCTAAGCATGGAATTCTAAACAAAGTTTTATTACATGCAGTAGTTAATAATTAAGTATTAAATTCTTATTTTTGGATGTCGTCGGTCGTATAACAGCACCTGAGATTGTTATAGTTAGTTTTAAATTCTCTGAATTCTAAAACTTTTAAAACTTTAATGTAACACATGTATTTCTGGAGTC